TCAAAAAAAAAAAAAAAAAAAAAAAAAAAAAAAAACCAAAAACCAAAGCTCTGCCTTGTGTCCGGAGCTGCCACGAGTGGTGTGTGGCTGCTCTGAGCATCGCTGCTCCGCTCAGCGAGGCGATTAATTAGCTTTCCCCAGGTCATGCCGACCCTCTTCTCTCTGCTCGGGCTCTGCACAACATCGTGCCTGCAACAGGTCCCGCTCCGCTCCGGCAGCCAGGAGCCGATGGATGATCCCGAGGGTCCCCGGGATGTGCCAGGAGGGCTTTGGCTCCTGCGCTGCTGCCCCATCCCCGGCAAAGGGAGCCCCAGGGATGCTCAGTACTTGTAAAGGCTCTGTAAACGCCCAGCAGCTGCCTGGAATGGATGACAGAGTGACACAACTATCTTTTGTCTCTTAAAAAAGGAAAGAAGTTCAGAAGTTTCATCGATTAGGGGAAAAAGCCACTTCATAAGGACTTCACTTTAAACTCGAGGGCAGCTAATTGGATAGAAGCTAAAAAGTTTTGCTTGACTAATTGGGTAGAAAAAGAAGAGGACAAAGGAACTGGGGGCTTCTGAGAGGAGATTTTACCAGGAGCAGACCGCTGCACCTGGCTCGGGTTTTTCTGTTTGTTATTTTGCCTTTTATTAAACCTTTTTGTTTCCAACACTGCAGCAGAAGCCATCCTGCTTATTTTGTGCCCCCAAAAGCAGCTGAGCTATCTTGGGTGTACTGTATGTTCCTCTGAGAGCTTATAAGACCTGGCTCGAGGAAGAAAATCCAATTCAGGGGTGGCACTGGGATTTCTCAGGCAGCGCTGCCTCCAGCTTGTCTCCTCGTCCTGCTGTTTTCCACAGGGGTCGTGGGGTTTTTTAAACTTATGCAGTGCCTCTTTTCAGGAACCTCTCCAAACAGCCCAAAAGTGGTCTGGGGGTTCTGGTGACTGCACCCCACTTCCCAGATGTTTCCTGGGCTCTGACCTGGCCCCTTTTGGCCCAGAGGGGATGAGCTGGGGTCAGGACCTTCAGCTGTGAGGACCCTCCTGCCTCTCCCTCACCTTTGCCATCACTCGGAGCGGAATCCACAGGAATTTGGGTTTGCTGTGGGCTGCAGCACCTGATTGCCCTGTGGGAACCTCAGCCAAGACTGCAGGTTTGTTTTTGGGGGTGCAGGGCAGCCTCTGTGACCTGCATTTGGGGGATCCTTCCCCTCGGGGAGGAGGGCAATCCCAGCCAGGGCTGTGATGAGGGGGCTGCCCTCCCTGAGCCCCAGCAGCAGCAGGACGTGTCCTTTGTCATCACCCTGCCCCACCCTGGGTTTCTTTAATTACAGCTTTGAGAGAGATCTTCCCCTTTATTCCCCCAAATCTTCTCCTTAATTAAAATCCTCGATCTGGGCCAGCGGGAAGCAGCTGTTGCCTCTTTGCAGCGCGCTCGGGCGTGCTTCAAGCTGCCAGCCCGACTGTGGCCGCGCAGGGACAGCACAGGGACAGGGGCCACTGCCATTGTCACCGTCCCTCCTGGTGATGCCCAGGGGAGGCTGAAATCATCTGAGCTGAGTGGGGACCGAGCACTGGGTCCCTCTGCACCTTTCCCACCGTGGAGCCCTTCCAGCGGGGCTGCCACGGCCCGAGTGCAGCCAGCCCAAACCCATTTTGGGTTTGCCCAGCTCCTGTCTGGAGAAGGAGTGGATGATGGAGGTGAAGCTGGGCTGTTCCTTGGGATCCATGATGTGTCTGGCCAGGGGCAGCGGTTTCTCATTCCTCCTGTCCTCCAGAGGAAACCCATTGGACCCCAATCCATGGCTCATGGGACACCCCTGGACCCCCGTGTCCCACGGCTTGGGGACATTCCCTGCCATGGCCTCGCAGCCTCCTTGTGTTTTCTCCCAGGATTAGCCCAGGGAGGTGATTTTACCCTCCCTGCCTGCTCGGGGCAGGCGTTTCTGCAGTGATCCATCCTCACAGCAACGGGGAAGCGTCGGGAACAATTAGTGAGCTGGTGGTGTCAGCTTTATCACAGCTGATGTGTCTCTTCTTAATGAAACTTGTGGAAGAGAAAAGTAGGGAAAAAAGGGAAAAGGCTGCTGACAACAGATGTATTATTTCAGCTCAGATTTACTGGTGCATGCATTTTTCATTCATGGAAGAGGCTGATATGCAGATTTATTCAGAGCAGAGCAGGTACAACCCTTGGTGGATCAATTCCTGCAGCAGACTCAGGAGAAAAGGACTTGGCTGAGCAAACAGCCATGCAAGGCACTTCCCAAAGCCAGCCCCAAATTTTGTGCCCAAGATGGGCTAAAAGGCCAATCTTTTATTTTCTTTTTTTTTTTTTTTTCTCCAAATCCACGGACTTCAGCCCAAATTCTGTTCCTGTTTTTGGCCAGGGGAGACTTGCACTGACAGTTACATCTTGTGTTTCCCATGTACTTCAGCTGGGGTGGCCTGGGTTGACTTTGTTCTTCTTCCAGCTCTGCTTTACTGGGGGCTCAGTGCTCAGTGGTCTCAGGGTGGCTTCACCCCTACCCTGTTTTGGAAAGAATGAATTTTTATTATGGACTATATATATGTATAATATTATATAAAATTTTTAAATAATTTATAAAAATATAAATAATTGTATTATTTATATTGAGGTGGCTTCTTCAGGAGACCCTTCTTTGTTCTGGCTCCTTGGTCACCAAAGTCATGCCTTGAACCTCAACACCAGAGCCAGGTGTCCATTATTGGTAGCTAAAATTTGGCTTCCAAATGTGTCTGAAGCTCTTCTCCTTCCATACACAGCATGTTGTGGTTTCTCTGTGACTTGGGGGGCTCTGCTGCCCTGGGGGAGGGCACCCTCTGGAAGCCAAGTAGAATTTAATCTCCCTGCAGTGATGAAAGTGAATCCAAGAAAAGTATTTGAGGTGTTTTTCCCTCTCATTAGGAATGGAAGACAGGAGTCTTCTGTCTTCTGGGTACTATACAACCAGCATGAATTATTTAGGACCAAGCATCTCTCCGATAAATAATTTTTTTATGTGGGGAGATTAAATCTGAATTTTTTAAAAAATATAATAACAAAAGCAATTTCTCTCTCGTAAGTCCTCATATTTCACCCAGCAAAGAGATCCCAGGCATCCATTCCTGTATTGATCAGCAAATAGGTCCTTTTATAGATTTAGTTCACCCAACCTTGTTTAATTTTGGATTCATTGATTCAATGCAAAGATCTAGATGAAAAGCAAGTGGGCTGTTTCCAGTGCTGGTGATGCTATTTTTAAAGAAATCTAGTGCATGCTAAAATAAATATGCAAAACATTTTGTAAGGCCATGTACGGGTGGGGAGACCAGATGTACTAAAATATTTAACAAACTTTTCCCTGATTTCTCGAAATGCATGTTTTATTTACTAAACACCAGTGGAATTTAATCTCACCCAGTGTTTGCTCCGACCCATTGTCTGGGGTGAGCAGGAACGTGGGACCTTGGAGGAACTGTCTGTGCAGTGACATTGGTGGCACATTTAAATGCAAAGCTCATTAACCGTGTCTGGGATTTTTTGTTTGTTTCTCCCTTTTTTTATGTTCACGTTCCTTACAAGAGCAAGAGATGAAATACCCATCTACAATTCCCTTTCATCTCTAGGCATGTTTGGCTGGTTTTTTTTTTTTTTTTTCTTCCCTCTTCTGTTGCTCAGATGACAAAGTTCCTCATTTGGAATTTTATTTGATTTCAGAAGATGAGAAAGAATTAAAAGCATCTTCAGGAGGTTGAGCTCACCTTACTCTATCCAGGATCCTTCAGGAGGAGGATGAGTGACTTGGCAAAGGCTCCTGCCCCCAAAGGATGGAGTTCATCCCAGGGTCAGAGCTGCATCCTGGCTTTTCCTTCACCTGGGGTGACCATCCTGCAGATCCTGCAGGTCCCAGCCTGCTTTCCTGGGCATCCCACCCCGGGTGTACGTGCCTGTCTCCTTCAAACCCTCTGCTTTCAATCCAATCACATTTAATTGAATTGTGGTTTTGATCGCATCTGACGGTGGCAGAGATCTTGCTGATAATCAGATTCCCATGGGGAACATGGAAATGGGACTGGTGGAGGAGGGAGGAGAGACAGGGCCTTGTGTGATGCCACTTGGTCCTCATGAGACACCAGGGAAGTGACACACAGCCAGGCTCTGTCCACTCTGGGGACAGCCACATTTCGGGGACAGAGGAATTAGCTGAATGTCCCAGTGGGGGCCGAACCCCACAGGTTGTGTTGGTTTTGGTTAAAAAAAGGCAATTTCCTTGGCAAAACCTTCCACCTTGCTGCAGGTTGGAGCAAATCCAGCATCCCCCATCACTCCTGGTACCCAGCCTGGCCTCACCCTGCCCTGCCTGGAGCCTGTGCAGGGATGTGCTCAGCTCTCTGCACATCTGCCATGTGTAAGGTGGCAGCAATTAATTACAGAGATTCATGAGTGATTTACATGAATTCAGCTGGAAGTGCAGCCCCTGGGATGGGGGAATATTCCTTGCAGAGCCGTGCTGCCCCCTGCTCCAGATGCCTTTCTGTCAGCAAGTGCTTCGTGGAGTGCTTGTTGTGTGTGTGATTTTGGGGGTGCCAAAACAGGAGCGGGAGAGCAAGCAGCAGCCCCTACTCAATCCCTTGGTCCTTGCCAGGGGTTTGGGCATGGCAGGGAAGGCCTTGGATATGCTGAGACACAGGAATTTCCCCCCAGGTTGGGATGAAAACAATATCCTCCACCCTGACCTCACCTTTTCCCCTGAGGTGCTGGAGGGACACGTGTGTCCCATTCCATGCCAGTGCTGCTGGCCCCAGGGCACACGGGGAGGAGAAGATGAGGGTCCAGAGCACAACCCCAGCCCCTGCAGCACTGTGGTGTGGGGCTGCCACTGCAGAGATCACCTTGCACTGAGTTTGCAGCTCCCCAGGACAGAGGCTTGGTGGACTGAACTGAGCTCTCCTTGACCTTGCACAGCTCTGTTTCCCTTGGTTTGGGTGTTACAGCAGCTCTTCCCATCGAGCAGGTGGCTGTGGCTAATTTACCTCGTTTACAGCCCTGTGGTTTAATGCACCCAATCTCCCTGGATCAGAGAATCCCAGAATGGTTTGGGCTGGAAGGGACCTTCCAGATCACACAGTTCCAGCCCTGGGACAACTCCCACTAGACCACATTGCTCCAAACTGCATCCAGTCTGTCTTTGGACACTTCCAGGGGTGGAGGCAGAGGAGATCTAAGGCGGTGAAGTGCCAGAGGAGGATGCAGGGCTGTAGCTGTGGGTGTACACGAGGAAAGAGACACTCCTGCAAGGACCCTGCAGTGTGCTGGCTCGGTCCAGGAGAGCTAGCAGCAAGCCAAGAGACTCAAATATCCTGGCCAGAAGGATGAGAGAACACTGCCAAGACAAGCAGGTGTCCAAGAGAGCAACTCTGGGCCTGGAGGAGACGGGGGGAGACTGGAAAGGAACAACGAGTTAAAAAAACCTGAGGTGTAAGGTGACAGCTAGAAATAGAAGGGAGCAAATGATATTTGTATCAGAGGTATCCTGGGGAAGGCATGAAGGAATCCAGCCCTGAGGTCCCCAGCTCCTCGTGTTCAAGCCTTTCCTCTCAAACCCAGCATAAACCATCTTAAAGGCTTGTCTCAGCTCACCATGAGAGAGGAGGGAGCTGGCCGTGGCAGCCAGGCACTTCCACTGGTCCACTGGCTTGGTTCACACCTCCACTGGTTTGCTTCTGATCAATAATGAGCTAATTAGTTGCTATGGAAATGTAATGTGGGAGAACTTTGGGGAGGAGAAATTATAGGTAATTTTTATTTGTTTGGGCCCTGTTCCTATAGCAACAGGAGAACTTGTCACTGACTACCAGTTGGTTTCCATGGAGTTGGCTGCTAGTTCTGGGTTATTAATGCCTCCAAGCATGAAACAACTTACCTAGTAGGGCTGGTGGATTGTCCTCCATCATCCATGGGAACTTTGCAGTTTGCCAAAGTCAGGGCCTGGCTCTCGCAGTGGAAAGTGCACGCTCCCAAAAGTTGGGCTGGAGTGTTCATCATCAATAAACAGTGTGGAAGTGCTGGAAGGATCGATTATTCTGCCCTTCTCTTGAGTTGAAGACATCATGGAATGAATAATCCATCACTTCATGGCTTGTTCTACTCGCAGCATTGCCTGATTTTTAATTGGATTTCCTCCGTCTTCGGCTTCCAGATGCTTGGCGTTGATCTGCCTTTCTCTGCTAAATTAAAAAGTCTTTTAGCACCTGGCAGTTTTGCTGTAAAGGGACTTACTGTAATTAAGTCCCTTCTCATCTCACCAGGACTGGTTCTCCTGAATGAAGCCGTTTGTTTTCCTCCAGCCCCTCACCTGACGCCTTCCCCGTTTTCGTGCTCCTCCGAACAAAAGGGATGTGGTGTCTGCCTTGCAGAGGGTTGGACTCTGTCGAGGGACCTCTCAAACTCCTCCAGAAGCTGAGCCTTGGAACCAGACCAAACACTCCTGAGCACCGAAGAGACTGGATTTGGGAGAGATTGGTTTTATGATAGGTTGTAATTTCCCTCCCACCAGCTAACTCCTCAGCTTTCCACGGGTGATAATTACCCAGTAGGAGCTAAAATGTCTCTCCCCACTCCCCCCTTATCAACCCATTCTCCACTTTGAAGGCATCGCCACTTTTTCCCAGTGTGTCCTGGCCAATCTCTCGGAGTGCCTGCACATCCTGTGATGTTTTGGAAGATGGTGCCACATCCACCACCTCTCCCCTTTGGGGAGCTGGACCTCGCTCCAGCTTTGAAGGCAGATAAGTTGATCAGCGTGTGGATAAACCTTTAATGGTATTTGGCTGAGCGCACCACGCAGTCGGAAGGGAGGCACAAAGCAAAGGACAGCTCCTCACCAGCAGCCCTTCCTCGGATCTCTTGGCAAGCTCTGCTGCTGGCCCCCAGCTCTGCATGCTGTGCTCGCAGCTGCTCCGTCCCCGCTGGTGAGGCACAGCCCAAATGTCTCAAAGGAGGCTGCAGAGGGGGATGGAGGATGAGTCTGAGGATGAAGGCTGGCTGTGGAGATGGGAGGAAAGTCCTGAGCCATCCAGGTGGGGTCTGGCTGGCAAAGCCAGCAAAGCCAAACCTTCAGGATGGAAGAAAGGCTTCATCCAAGAGTTCCTGCGTCTCCTTGGTGCCACTTGACAGATAAATTATGTAAGAAATCCCTCTGCAAACTGTTTGTTCTTCCATGTGTTTCTTTCCAAGAGTGGAAAGAAAGCCATGGAGGGAGAGGATTGGGAAGTTCTGTATTTAGGCAGCTGGCAATGATGGCTTTAGCAGAGACTGGCTGTTGGATGGAGAGTGTTAGCTGGGTGAAGGGGGCACACCCAGCACAGCAGAACCAGCTCTGGGTTGGGAATCCAGGCTGGGGACCCAGGAGATGAGGGCAGGAGGTGCCCAGGAGGTGACATGCTGGCAATGCACTGTGTTGTCCCTGCCTGGGGCAGCTGCTGGGGTCTCTCTGCCCACATTAGTGTGGTGGCTGCAAATAACAGGGATGTTCTGGGTGGTCACCTCCAGCCTGGCTGTGATCCATGACTCACCAGCTTCCTGTCCACAGCAACGCTACGGATTGACTCATGGCTATGGGAGTGTTTCACCCTGAGCCCACAGCCCTTTGATTTTACCAGACACCCTTGTGTGTTTACAAATGAGAGATCTCCATTTGATCAGGGCTGTGAGAACTGGTGACATCCTGCAAAGCCACGCGGCAGATGATGCTTCATCCTCAGCTTCACCTGGTTCTCCTCCTCCCCTTCCCTCATGTGTGGCTGGAAAGAAATTCCTCCTGGCTTGCTTTGAGCTGCAGCTCTCCCAAGATGGGCTTTGCTTCACCTGTGTTGGTGCAGTCCCTTGAAAAATCAGTGTTTTCCCACTTAATGTCTCAGCCCTCCTGAGCCTGGAGCAGCCACGGCTCTGCACCAGAGCAGGCATGGGGCCTCGTGGAGGTGTGGGAAGGCAGATGATGTGGGCCTTGTTCAGCCACCCAGAAGCTCTTTGAAACAGCATCTGAAGAGGGGCCTGAGCATGGAAATTACCCAACACCTGGGAGGGTGAGACCAGCCTTTGGAAAATGGCTTTGAGTCACAGAATCATGGAATGGTTTGGGATGGAAGGACCTTAAGCTCATCTAGTCCCAACCCCCTCATCATGGGCAGGGACTTTGTGTCCCTGATGGCAGTGGAGCTGTGCAGCTTTGCTCTGAGCATCTGCCACCACCACGGCACGGCAGGGGAAGGGATGGCGTGTGCCATGTCACAAGGTAAGGCTGGTGGCAGCTGAGAGAGCCATCCCTCGGGGATGTGATGGCTCCTGGCATGTCCACGTAGGGCTCCTCACCTGCAGGCCGTGCCCCAGCTCTGAGGGACGTGGTGGAGCCACCTCGGAGGGGTGTGATGGGAAAGGCTGGCGTGGCTGTGGTGAGCACTGGAGATCCCGCCCGGCTCTGCGGGGACTGTGGTGGGAGGAGGACGCAGGGTTTGTTTGTATGACACACGAGCACATGCTTTTACTCTGAGTAACCTTCTCCTGGCAGAGAATGGAGCCTTCTGCCATGCCCTGTGCTCCCAGGGGGGTCCATGGCAGATCCATGGGCATTGTGTGCTGGAGCAGGGCAGGAACATCCAGCTCCATGAGAGCTGGCAGCAGAAGGTGCCATGGAGGAGCTCCATGCTGGGACAAGCCTGGGTGGCTGCTCCTTGCCATGCAGCAGCTCTGCTATGACTCCAACAGGCAGGTTTGCGTTGTTCTCCACAAAGTAGGCAAGACCTGTTTGGGTAAGATGTTGTCCCAACCTCCTGCTCCATGTTTCTGCTGTCCCCAGTCCTTTGTGACACCTTCAGCCAGCTCTCTTGGGAGGTTCTCTATGCTGAGGTGTCCAGATGGGCTTATGGTGAAGCCTGGGGTCCTTCCCAACACTTACCTCTGCCTCCCGACAGCCCCAGGATTTGTTCATGCCCTAAAGGTCAAGGAAACTTTAGAGAAACTGAATTAACTGCAGAATGGTTTGGGTTGGAAGGAATCCCAAAGATCATCTCATTCCCGAGGGCAGGGACACCTTCCACTGTCCCAGGTTGCTCCTAGCCCTGTCCAACCTGGCCTTGAACACATCTTCACAGTCCACCCATTTTTCAGCCTTGTTGGTTTTAACCAGCCATAGCTTGGCCTTGGAGCTGTGAACCTGCAGATCCTGGTCCTGGAGCAGCTCAGGAATGGGTAGGGAGAAGCATTTCTCCAAAAGCCTCACGTGTCACCTCACAGCTTCATTCTAAAATAAATCTGAGGAGCACAAAGGTGTGTTAGAACACCAAACACCAAGGCTACACTGGAGCAAGCCCAGGCTGGATCAGTCCTGGATGAGAAAACCCTTTCACCTTCAGGAATGGCCACAGCAGAGCCCATGCTGCACAAAGGACTTGCTGCAGCCTCCTCTCCTCGCCAGCTGTGGCCAAGAGGAGGCTGCATGTGCCAAGGGGTGGATCTGCTGCAGCCTCCCATCCACTCCCTGCCCGCCTTGCCTCACTGGGAACATGTCTTTCCAGGTGAGCACGGCAAGGTGTTTCCTGTGCAGCCACTAACCAGTGGTTGAGCAAGCGTTGCTGGCTTGGAGGCAGGTTCTCCTCCTTCCCCAGCCCTTTCCCTGCTCTGGGTCCATCTGTAGGGAACGTCCTCTCTGAGCTGCCGAGGTTCCCCGGCTCCTCAGCCTCGCCCACGGCAGGAATGGAGGTGTGGTGGTCTCCTCTGGGCTCCTGCAGCAGAAGAGGGTGGTGAGGGCTGGCTCCAAAGAGGTGAGACCTTCCTCCACCAGTGCTTGGGAGGTGGGAGCAAGAGGAGAGCTCCAGGAGCCATCTCAGGAGCTGAGTGTGAGTCTGGGATGGGATGGGATGGGATGGGATGGGCCAGCCTATGCAGCTGCTCCAGCCTTGTTTCACCTCCCACTGAGGTCCAGAAGGCTCCTTGATTGCCAGGAATAGTCATTTGGAGGTTCAAAGCAGTGATCTACAGCAGTCCAGCTCTGCTGGAAGTGTTCTAGAGGCTCAGGGGATGAAGCAGCCATCTCCCGTGGGACCTGGAAGGGTTAGGAGGAAATCTGGGAGTTTTTCTCCAGGCCTGGGCTCCTCATCTGCCCCCAGCAGTGAAGGGAAGAGTGGATGTAGTGGCCTGGGGGTCACCTCAGTGCTTGAAGGGACTCAGGGTGCTTTCCTGGTCTAGCTCAGGGTGCAGCAATGTGCTCCTGCCCCAAGCAGGGCTTTTCTTCCCAGCTGAGCAGCAGGGCCAGAGCAGGAGTCTGTTTTTGTAGGAACTGCTTCTGCAAAGGGATTTCCTTGCTCTGTCCTTCCCCCTCTCACCACAGGCTTTTCCATGGCTGTTCCTGGGGCTGTTGCTGGGCTGTCTCTGACAGGGCTCCCTGCACCTTTGGACACTGACAGGGATTTTTTCCTCGGTGTATGGACAGCTCATGTTGTGTCCCTGTAACCTGCAGGGCAGGTTGTCCTGGGGCTGGTGGCTCTCTGAGGATGCTACCCCCTGTGTCTGTGCCAGTGAGGTGCTCACAGTGTCTGGGGTTCAGGGGGTGCTGCCATGGGGATCTGACTCTGGGTGGGACCCAGAGGCTGTGTTCCATCTCCAGGACACCGTGCTCCGTTCTCCCTTCTCCATCCTGTTTAAACTTCCATCAGCCAATCAGCTCCTGCAACAGAGCAAACATCGTCTGGTAATTAATCTGCACAGATGGGCTTTGTTTGAGCAAGCTGCTGTGCACTGGCCTCAGAGGAGGGTGCAGCAGGGGGCTGGGCTGGGGGCACCTCGCCACACCCTGCCCCAGGCTCTCCCCGTGTCCAGGAGATTCCTGGGATCACCAGACCTTTTGTCCAGTGCTTGGAGCTGGAGGTGGTCCGGACATTTGGTTTTGTCAAGGGAGAGAGACGTGAGAAAATAGGTTTTGTGGTTGTGAAACCCTGATGGAGCCAGGGAAGGAGGGAGGGAGGAGACCCCCACTCCTCTCTCAGGTGCTTCTTGCCTCCTCTTGAGCTGCTCGCTGTCCTGTGATCAGAGCAGCTGGGTTTGGACATGGGAAAGGTTAAAATGGAAAGTGTTAAAATGCTGTCAAAGATCTCACCCAGAAAACCTCAAAGTTAATGGGAATCTGCATCTCCCAAGGGGGAAAAAAAACCAAAAACAACCTTTTGGAAGCCCTCAAGTGCTTCAATACCCTTGAATTATTTTTGCTCCCCTGGTAATTATTGCCTCAGTTTGTGCTGCATTGGCAAAGTGCTCCTGTCGCCCCAGAACCTTATTTTTCAGGTGAATCACTGTTAGCTGATGGTTTTAGCTGCAGTGTGGCCACAGGGGCTCACAGCACCATGGCCACAGCTCGGGGAAGAGGAGGCAACTTCCCAACCCCATGAGCACCAGGTCCAGTTCACTGAGCACTCAGGGCCCTGCCTGCCCTTGTCCTGTTCAAGGAGTGCATTTTTGGGGACAAACTGGAAACACGGAGCTGTGTCCTGAGCCTTTTAGTGACTGGGCCCAGGGAAGGGACACATCTCCCCCACCTACAGGTGCTGGCTGCAGGTGACAGATGCCACGGACAGCTCCATAAACCACGGGAGAGCAGAGCAGCACTTCCAGCCTCGG